CGGCGAACACTGACCTCCAAGCACCCCACGACAGAACGAAAGGGGCAAGGAAGTAATGTACTCTTCACATATTACACACCAAAGTATCACGGAACCGCGGGACTCTTCCTCCCTCGCACTGTGCGTGGTTTCTTTTGTAGAGCCTCCCGGCGTAGCGATCTATCTGCAATCCGTCATCAAAATCGTCTTATACTTGGGAATCTCGACAAGGATTTTTCTGCTTTCATCGCTCCCTCCCCTCTCCTTCCCTCCTTCCCCCCCCCCCCCCCTCCCCCTCTCCCATCCTCTCCGCCCCCTCTCCTCCTCCCTTCTCCCTCCTCCCCTCGAGGCATTCTGAACTCATTCCCCACGGTGCCTGCAGACCCCAATTGGCATCATGTGGAGGGCTTCAGAGAAGCTGATGGACACCATCCGTCACTATGCCTCGTTTCCCGCAACCGGTGTCTCCCTCAGGCAGATGGTCCAGTTCGGCGACAGGCCGTCAACGGGTTTGTGAACTTCTTTTCCTTCCCTCCCTATACAGCGAGGTCCTATATCTATATAATTCTAACATTTACTAACTTGTTTTCTATCTGCCGGCCTTCGTCGTTGTGACTCAGGAACTCTCTTCCGTGCCTCCCAGTTCTTGTCCGAAGAGCTCCCCATTCGCCTTGCACACCGCGTCCAGGAGCTGGACGATCTGCCAGATGGATTGAACGAAATGCCGTCCATACAGAAAGTCCGCGATTGGTATGCGCAGTCGTTCGAGGTATGCGCTTCTTACTATTTTGTTTTTTCATCCTTTTTTTTTTTTTGGTTGTCTCTCTATTCATATTTTATACTTTTTTTGATATTTCTGACTCATTGCACCGGAATTTTAGGAAATCATCACTCTTCCCCGCCCAACTCTCTCACAAGAAGTCAGAGCTCGCCTCCTTCGCCCTAGCAAACCCAATGGCCGAGAAGTAAGAGTCCTCGAGGAAGCTACCCGCAATCCAAGCATACGCGACGACCGATATCGATCTTCGACAACCTCAATCCTAAGAGCAAACGGCTCGCTCTCCAATACTAATGGAGCCACCACCATCGGCAATGGGAACGGGAGAAGGACAGTGGCCGGAAACAGAAGATACTTCGTATCCGCCGACGATGGCCAAGAGTGGCCTCCGGAGCTGAATGAATACAACAACAAGTTCTCCAAGACCCTCCAACACATCAAACGGCGGCACGACGCCGTCGTAACGACGGTCGCACAGGGGATCCTGGAATACAAGCGCAAACGCCAACGCATGCAAATCGATTCGAACATCCAATCCTTCCTCGATCGTTTCTACATGTCCCGCATCGGCATCCGCATGCTCATCGGCCAACATGTCGCCCTCACCGACCAAACACACGTCCACCACCCCAACTACGTCGGCATAATATGTACAAAAACCAACGTACGCGAACTGGCCGAGGAGGCCATCGAGAATGCCCGCTTCGTCTGTGAAGACCACTACGGCCTCTTCGATGCGCCCAAGGTGCAGCTGATCTGCAAGCCGGATCTGAATTTCATGTACGTCCCCGGCCACCTATCGCACATGCTCTTTGAGACATTGAAGAACTCGCTGCGGGCCGTGGTGGAGACGCATGGGGCGGAGAAGGAGGCGTTCCCCGTTACGAAAGTGATAGTTGCGGAGGGGCGGGAGGATATTACCATTAAAGTCTCGGATGAGGGTGGTGGGATTCCGCGCTCGTCCATCCCGCTTGTGTGGACGTATATGTACACGACCGTTGATCAGACACCGAATCTGGACCCAGATTTCAATAAGAGTGATTTCAAAGCGCCGATGGCTGGGTTTGGGTATGGGTTGCCTATTAGCAGGCTTTATGCGAGGTATTTCGGCGGGGATTTGAAGCTGATTAGTATGGAGGGGTGAGTTTCAACCATCAACCCCTTGCCTACAATCAATCCCCAGTGATTATAAACAACTAATTAACTAACCAAAATTTACAGCTACGGCACCGACGTCTACCTTCACCTCAACCGCCTCTCCTCCAGCTCCGAACCGCTCCAGTGACAATTACCGGTGATGAGGGATGGCCAGCCGCTCGTGAGCTCCTCGCGACACTTCTACCCGTTGCTGCATGATACATCGCCATCACCATTATCATTATCATCATCATCATCAACCCGCTCGCGAGTGGTATCCCAAGGATTGACACCTATGAACATCGAAGCTATCCGACGTGCACGTGCCCACCAGCGAGATTCGCGCGGGGGTCATAGCAGCGGTGGTCGGGAGGTCTCGGAGCGTAAGCAGGTGGGCGACGCAGTTAGTTTGGTTAGTGGGGCGGAAGGGAGGGAAGGGCCTATAGGGATGAGTACCGTTTGAGTTTGTTTGGGGATTGTGTGGGAATGTGCTAGGTGAATGCTCCCATGTGATGGAAATCGCGCTTCCCTCCCATTTCCAGCCCCGCAGCTCCTCTTCTGCTCCTCTGCTCTCCCCTGTGCCACATATCTGGTGATTTGGGAACATCGCTCTGCATCTTTCATTTCGAAGTAGGGCTGTATATAGCATGGGGACTTGAGAGCCAGAAACGGATAAAATCCCTCTCAGGCCCTGATTTTCCGTCCTCCTCATCTCCCCCTTCCACAGCCTCCTACGCCCACGCAGCCAGCTCGTTCTCCCGGCGGAATATAAAATTTTCGAGTGGATACGATACATACATACTCCGCAAATACTACTTGCTATACTCAAGACGCCTTTTGTTTCTCACTCGCCTCGCGACACACACTCACACCGATACCTACTTCTCGACCTCCACCGTTGTCCTCTCAATGCGGGCAAAGGGTACAACCCTAGCCACTGAATCGTCAAGAATCTACCACGACCGTTACAGGCATGAGTTCAGCCCTATCTACGAAGAAATACACGTGAAAGATAAATTCGGCAGAATGGATATATTTGGAGATTCTTTACATCGGATGGCCCTTCTCCCTAAATGCCCTTGGGAGAAATAAATCCTGGGAATCTCTGAATATATCAGAAAACTCTGAAGAACAAAACAAACAAGGCCGGGACAACTTTTAACTCACTCACTCACTCATTCATTCATTCATTCATTCATCAATGTCAAAAAGTTGGAAGAAAGAAAGGGACAAAAGGGAGTTGTTGACATGCACAATGCTTGCATGCGCGTTGCATTGAGGTAAATAAAAATTGGATTTGCAAATTTTGCGTGCATAACTTTTATGTATATATATGTATCTATATCCATATCTCTATATGTATAGAAAAGATGCGGGGGGGGAGGAGATTGATAGTTATAGTTCGTGAAAAGGTCCGATGTAAAATAAGTACGTACGTACGTACAAATGAAATAAATGAATGAAATAAATAGATAAAACAAATAACTAGTGGAAAATGTCTTTACACTTATAAACAATCAATCAAGGAGTCAAAGATTAACGGTCAGGGTCGGGTTAGTCAACTAGCAAAACTTGCCTATTATTTAGTTTAGGGGCTCCTCGACAATCAACAGTCAGTCAACTGCTTGATAGTTCTTTAACCAACAATATACGCACAGTATATACTCTACCCCGGCAAAACTTCTCGTTGCGGACGGTTATGGTCCCGGGAAGAGCACGCCATTTGATAGAGAAAAGATGAGAGCGGACGACAAGAAAACAGAGCCGTCGTGCTATCTAGGAATCAACACTCTTTCATGTTTAGTTGAACATGATTCATTGGGAGATGGCTCTACGTACTCTTCCTCTACCTACTGCCCCCCAATCAATTGAAGATCGTCTGACGGCGCCGATAACTTGCATCCCCGGTTAACTATGAAAGTGGCCGTGGGCATCATTCCAGGGACGATAAAGTTGGTGCAAGTGCAACCGTCGCCACTCGAGTGTCTAGTGCTTAGTACTCCGTACTCTGCTGTGCATTTTCCTACTGCCGGGCCCCTGGGGATGATGGTATATATATGGCTGCCCGCCGGGAGGAGGGGGTAAGCAACTAGCTAACCTTACAGGAACGGATTCGAACCAACCTCTGCCAGCCAGATCCTGGCACAGGCCATCTGACATCTCGGACATGGGCGGAGATTTCCTACGGTGATTAAACATTTTAACCGGCCGGAGTATGCCCACATATGCCTTGCCCAAGCTAGGGGAAACAGCGGGCGGCGAGCTGACATACAAAGTCTACCTCTCCCAAATCTTAAGCTGTCAGCGTTCCACAGCGACACAGCGAGCATGCGCGAAGAGAACACTCTACGATTATTCTACGAACGAAAAACTGCTCACCAGTTGCCATGATAGATATATCGCTGTGTCTGTGTCCATGGAGCAAGTGATTACTACGGATGAGAAATCACGGCTTGCACCTGTGGAAGTTGACAACAGCTCTGGAAGGGAAGATGGCGCTCAACCGCAAGGACATATAAACAACATTGTCGAAGGCTCCTCACCCTCTCCCCCAGCAGAAGACTGGTTCACATGGATGGAAGTTCTAGGGGCTTTTTGCTTGAATCTGAATACATGGTAAAAACAAAGCTTGCGCGCACATTTGCACTTTCCATCCCGTACGGAGAAGGAAGGGGGGGAGAAGTTGGACGTCATCCGAATGTTTTACCAATACGGCTTACAAAATACAAAAGAAAAAGAAAAAGAAACTGATCTGTTTTACTTATTAGGGGACTCATGAACGCCTACGGCGTCTTTCAAGCCTTCTATGAACTTGACTTGCTGGCTACAAGGTCTTCTTCGGACATATCATGGATTGGCTGGACGCAGGCGTTTCTCATGTTCATCATCTCCATGATCGTGGGTCCGATCGTCGACGCAGGCTATCTAAGATCGCTGCTCGGAATTGGATCGTTGCTCACCGTTCTCGGGATTTTCATGACAAGCCTCTGCAATGAGTACTGGCAGGTGTTTCTCGCTCAGGCTATTACCATGGGTCTAGGGTTTGGTTACCTCTATGTACCTACTCCGACTATTGTCTCACAGTACTTTCATACTAGTACTACACTTGCGATGGGTGCGTCGTCGGCTGGTGGTGCTCTCGGTATGTATCTAGGGAACGTCACTAAAAAAAAGAAAAACCATCTCATTTTTTCCCCTAACCTTCGACATCATAGGTGGCGTAATATATCTGATTATTTTCACACGTCTCCAACCGCGGATAGGCTTCGCGTGGGCAACCCGAGTTCTTGGGTATATCGTACTGGCGACCCAACTCCTCCCCTTGATCCTAATGAAATCCTGAGCCAGCCCCATGACAAAACATACCCTGGTAGACCGAACCGCATTCAAAGACGTGCCCTACATCCTGCTGAACATCGGCCTCATCTTCGGCTTCATGGGCTTCTACATCATATTCTACTACATCGAGCTCTACGCCCACCAAGAAAGCAGCGTCTGAGCGGCCCTCCAACCCTACCTCCTCGTCTTCATCAACTCCAGCTCTTTACCAGGCCGCCTAATCCCTGGCTACTACGCTGAAAAAATGGGATTGATCAATGTGCAAACCATCGTCGCTTGTACCGGCGCGATATTGGCATTTTGCCTCATTGTCATAAGGAACTCGTCTGGGCTGGTCACCTACTACATTATCTACGGGTTTTCCGCTGGCGCCTTCATGGGCTTACCGGCCGCCGGCGTAGTGAACCTCTCAGCAGACGAGAGCAAGATTGGTGCCCGGCTGGGGATGTCCTTGGCCGTTGTGGGATGCGGTGTCCTCGTGAGTAACCCCATTGCAGGGGCTATTCTGGGCGGCAGAGGCGGCTGGGTTGGGCTTATTGTGTGGTGTGGCGCGTTGCTTATGGCTTCGTTTATTAGCATGGCTGCGAGTAGGATATGGAAGGTTGGCTTTGGATTTAAGAAGGCGATTTGATATACCTTGTTTTGGAGTTATGTGGTGATAAAAAATGTAAAATAAAATAAATAAAAATAAAAATAAGCATGCATAACCCTCAATGGAGTGAAGAAAGCCGGATTAAAATAAAATAGAGCGTCCGAGAGATTAATTCTTTAAGTGCCTTCTACTCTGTACGGAGTAAGTATTTGAGTTCTGAGATATTTACATGAAGAGAGAGTAAGGAATTCAGGAGTATCATAACCCAGCTGCACCATCTTCATTGGAGTTTTGCTCACTATTTCAAAACCCATGATTGCCGTCAGCGCGAATTGCTGTGGATTTGAAGCTATTTAAGCACATCATTCAAGAAGGGCATGTCACATCGGCCAGGTTGGTGGAGCTATCTGGAGCTATTCTACGTCCTCTGGCAGCAGCAGTGCATTTAGTTGAAGAAGTCGATTCAAGAACATGGAAAGCGACACGGGTCACAGAAGCCATGACGACCGAAGAAGAAATTACAGCTGGCCATCGAATGATGTGAGTAATTATTAATTCTATTTTTTAGTTCAAAGTCCCGCCCCCTTTTTTCACTATTTCTTGAAACAGACCACTTTCGAATGAATTGTTTCTTCTCCATCCTTGCTCAGAGACTTCAATATGTTCATGACCAACACAATGGGTGCGCGGAAGTACTGGGTTGATTGGCAGAGCAGAGCCAGATTCTGAACGGCGCAGCTACAGACAGGGCCCTAATTGTGGATGTGGGTGTAGGAAAGGTCCTGACACAGGAGACTTGGAGGAGGTGATTGAGAAGGTTACATATATAATTTTTGAACCAAACAGCCTGTAACAGGTATAATAAGAAGGTTCTCATCTCATCTATTTACTTCCCCAAACTTTCTTCCTCCTCTATTATTTCATTCACATGTTTCTCTCCTTTTCTCCGTTGAGAATCGAGGAGGGGGAAGGAAGTGAGATATATTCTGCTCACACCGTATAGGTGCAAGGGTCTACTTCTATCACCACATCCTCCACGACTGGTCAGATTCTTACTGCCTCGAGATTCTTGAAAATGCCACAGCGGCAGTGACACCAGGCTACTCGAAGCTCCTTATACATGAGATGGTTGTGCCGGGAACAAGAGGCATCGCAGTTCCAGGCACAATTAGATATGACAATGATGGCTTTCAACTCCGGCATGGAGCGCACGGCACAGCAGTGACGTGAACTGTTGGAGAAGGCTGGGCTTACGGTGGTTAAGTTGTGCGACCCGATCGATGAGGGTGGTGATGGAATCGTTGAGGCGATGAAGATATAGATATTGGATCTTACGCATGAATGTTAGCCTGTTTCCCATAAGGGACTAAGCTGGGATCAATGAAGTCTGATGCGCGGCCTGAGATTGTGCTTTAAATCTCCTGAGGAGCATAGCAATGTTTTCCTCCGGATGGTATAGTTAAACCCGGACGCTTACCTCCTACCCCATACCCCGTAGACCTTGTGACCGACGACCAGCTGAATTGTTTCCGGCAACTTAACTCGCAATTGCTCGGTGAATTTTAGTTACTGTCAACATATCCATCTTGACGGGATATCGGCTCAAAAAGCGGTGTGCCATCGATTGCCCTTCCGTCGTCAGCGAAGCCAATCGAAAAATCGACTCAAAATGAACTAAATGGAAATGGACAATCACCAGCTGTTCCGAACCGATGGTTTTTCCTAGCTACCATATCGAACTCCCTTCCAATCGAGCTCGATATTCCAGAACCAAACCTGCTAATAAAAGGGCGGATCGGTAGTTTGCACGCATGCATGCAGGTTGTCCCATTCGTTTCTGTGCTGAATTTGAATTCTTTCGAGTATCCGTACCCCGTTTTTTTTCCTTTGCTTTCCCTCGTTGGTATTCAGTATATTTAGCTATTTAGCTTGGTGCAAAAATCTCCCCGAGGTAGGAAATCAGATCAGAGTTTTCACCCTCGCGAAAAGCTGTGGCATTTTTGTCAACATTATTTCCATATATCCTGGAAGTTATTATGTACATACCTATTAGTTACATACATCCCCATGCGAACCAGCAGCGAAAGGAAGAAGAATAAAGAAGAAGAAAACAAAAGGAAATGAGAAAAAATAAAAGGGTCAGAAGGCTCCTGAACTCCGCAACCAGATCTCATTCAAATGATAGACATGATAAAAGCATCTTACCCCACACAATCCATTACGCCGTGACGTCGTCCCCCGCTGCCTAAGACAAACTAAAAAAAAATATAAAAAGACTTGAAACGAAAGACCTAAGCCTGACTTAACCAACCGCACTTTCACCTTCACCCAACCTTATCCAACCGCGCCCGCCGAATGCCTCGCACTCCTCCTCCTCCCCTGCCCCTGTCCACTACCACTATTACCAGCGGCACCTGCACCGCCCCTGCCCCTTGCCCTCCTACTCCCCCTCCTACCACCATCGCTACCACCCACAGCAGCCACAGCAGCCACAGCAGCCGATGGAGACGCAGTGACGGATCCAGGCAAAGCGACCGACCCATACCCCTCATCCCCAGCGCCTTGATTCCGCCATCCGCCATCGACTTCCAGAATGTCAACTACGGGCAGGCGTGATTCGATTGGTAAAGGATAGGTTGAGCCTGTCGTCATGGTTGCAGCTGGAAGGGGGAATTGAGTATGCGTAGGATCTGTGGATGTGCCTGCTTTTCCCTTGCCCTTGGCTTTACTAGCGGCAGCCTGAGATGTAGACGACGTCTTTTTAGGTCCTAGGATTTTCTCCTGCAGGGCGAAGGCGTGTACGTAGTTTTGTGGCATGCTGAGGCCTATGTAATGGTGTTGGAAGCGGCGGCGGGTTTCGGGGATTGTCTTTTCGGTTTAAAAACGGACGGCACAAGGTTCCAAGGTTAGCATAGCAAGATTTTTATGTTGTTGCATATTGCACCAATAACATAACGTATTGTAGAGATAGTTCCATAAGAATATTTGTAAATCCCATCGTATCCAGCCAAGTATGTAAACCCGCAAATGGGCAAGATAGAACAATACGAACCTCATAATTGGCCACGGCATGGTTCAATAACAGCTCCTGGTCTGTCAACACGCTGAGAGCAGCATGGCGACGTTCGCGCATGTAGGACTTGAGACGCATATGGCCGACCAGTGGAGGATGGATGGGTAAGTCTGCAGAGCCGAAAAGGTTCTGCGATTGCGCGTTTTTGGTGGGTGTATGATTGCCCCTATAGTCTACGATTTTATTTATAAAAAAATAAGATTTTGTTAGTTAGTTTAGCAGAATTGACTTGTATAACTACAGGAAGATAAGTGGTTATATGTAATTGACACTCACCCAACCGCTCCTCCGTCTCCATCTCCTCCGCCTCCTCCTCCGCATTTACAACATCTGAATCATCACTTCTCCTGCTCCTACTCCTACTCCCGGTCCCCTGCACGCTCCCACTCCCGCCGCCACCTCCACCAGCACCACCAGCACCACCAAGAACCTGTGTCCTAATCTGCTGTTCACGCTCCTGCGCGTGGGCTAATCGGATATGCGCCTCCGTATGCTCGTCGATATCCGATGCAGCTAAGAGGAGGGCGCGCGCTTCGAGGACGCGGTCGTATGCGTTGACGAGCATTTGGCGGGCGTGGGGGCTTAGGTTTGCGGGGAGGTGGATGGCGGGGTTGTCGTTCATGGTTTTTTTTTTTTTTTTTCCCCGGGAGGGTTTTGAGTGGGATTGAGTATCTCTCTTTTCCTTATTAATTCCAAAGCAAAGGAAAAAAAGGCCCGGGGGGTAAGGAGTATAGCGCGTCGCGCGGAAACGAGGACGGAACGACGGTTGGAATCAACCAAACCTGCGTTGGTTGAGTGAAGACAGTTGCTGGGAATTAACAAATAATCAAACCGACTACACGACCCGCACAATCAAAATACTCCAATGCAAAGAAAGACCTTTCCCCTAAGCTTCGTCCCCCGTCCAACTCCACTCCCTTTGGAAAGAGGCTAATTAGTAAAAATGTAGCTTAAGAGCGCGCGGGGCAAGCTCGAACTCGCATCGGCTTTGCTCTTTTTTTTTTTTTTTCTTTTTTTTTTTTTAATTCCAACGAGAAATAACGAAAGGGGAATGGGGAAACGTGGTATGCGTGTGTGGTAAGAATGAGCACTGTCATGGGAAGGGGAATTGTGTAAGAGCTCCAAAGCGCCGGCGATGTCATCATTTATTATTATTTGCGGCGGTTGTTGTGTGGGGTAGAAACGCTAGGTTGTATTGGGTCTAGTGCGGCTCCCGACTGCAAAGATTTATCGTAACTAAGCATAGTTACTAAACAGACATGTTAATCGTCGTTATTTAAAATTACATTTTCAGCAGATGAAAAAATGGAAAATGAAATTAAAAAAAAAGCAGAAGACAAAATGAAAAACCCTCCCAAGCTGCTAATGATAGTACACAGGAATGACTTAATATGTCAATCTGACGCCGACGCGTGTCACTAACGTACATACATATACAGTGTGTATGTGTTCGCACTCCCTAAAATATACAAGAAAGCTAACAAAAAAAAGGTAAATATACACAGAGAAAAAAAGAAGAGTACAAGAAACATCCTCCAAGACAAGGTCCAAGAGCTTAAAAAAAAGAAGATAAACAACCGAGGGGTATAATAATTACAACTTCCGTCCGTTTCTTCATCGAAAATGTTAGTTTAGGTCATTTTTATCTTCTTGGGTCCTATCGTGTCGTGTCGGTATAGCGTGTCGGTATAACGTAACATTATAGCAAAACTTTCATCAACATCCGTGCATGAACGAGTTCTTCGGCCATGCGTTGCCCGTGTCATCCCTATTAAACCACCAAACAAGTTAGCAGTCAGCAACAACAGCTCTCTAAAAGAAAAAGGGGGAAGTTGAAGGGAGAAAAAAAAAAAAAAAAAAAAAAAAAAAAAAAGGAGAGAGAGAGAGAGAATATTTTTCCAAACACGAACATACCACCTCGTCAGATTCGGATTTTCATAAGCATTCAGATGATCCTTAATATACTCCGTTGTCTCCCACCCGGGCGGGTCGCACGTAACACTCACTGCATCCGGATCTTGATAAATCCTCACGTAATCAAACCGCATTGTAGCCGGCATTAACTTCGTCAACCCAGTCAGGTTCACGTACGCGAATGTATTCGACATGCCCAAGTTCATGATGATCGACATGGGCTCGGTCGGGATGATGCGCTGGCCGACGTTACCGTTGGGCCCCAGGGCGCGCGCGTCCACTTTCCAGGTCTTATCCGCGCCGACGAACCAGTTTATTTCACCCTTGGGTCCGGGTTTGTATTCATAGGCGTAGACTTGGTAGGCTTTGCCATCGTACCAGTCATTGTTTAAGTTTGTTACGCCTGAGACTGCTTGTTGGTATGGACTGCCTCGATAGCTGTTTATAGTGGTTATTCTGGGGTCATAAAGTTCGTAGAACTCTAAGAATTTGTTGTGGCTAGTTAGAGAAGAGTAAATGAAAGAATCAGAGGAATATAGAAGGGCCTATATACCAAAGTTAGGCATATACCACACATCAAACGGCGCAACCTGAACACTCTGCGATACATCTCCCACATTGGACGGGGTGTCCGGATCCAAGGCATGCACATTTGCTTCAATAACATCGATTTCAGGGGCGCTTCGTGATTTACCCGGGGTCGGGTGATCTTCGCCGTTGCACGTGCAGGCGGGGAGGCGCATACCAGGCAGGAAACTAATCCCATCCGTCGAGCTCTGGTTGGGCGTGATACCCGCATCACATACATCGGCATAGCTATACGGCCACATCCCTTCCGTCGTGGCAGCATATCCTGGCCGGCCGAGGTTGCCCATGGACCAGAACCCAGGCCAGAACCCAGATGTATCACCCCTTCCAGGAAGTGATATGCTCGCCTCCAAACGCCCACCGGTGAAACACAGTTTATTCCAAGATTGGACCATGCCGGACCGATAATCTAGTCCGTGGTTTTTGAAGGCATCGAAGCGGATCTCGAGCTTCCCGTTCTTGGTGGTAACAGCGTCTGGGTCGTACCACTAGAAATAGAGTTAAGTACAAAACTTATATTTATTGATAAGACTATTCACTTACCTCTAGGTCCTGCGTCACTCCATACCAAATATCAACGGCTTGAAAAAAAGGGTCGTCCCCATCATAGAACGTTCGTCCGTCCTTGTTGAATTCATCCGAGAACTAGTAGTCGCGAATGAATGTCAGCTAGTCTTGGCACACCAACCAAGCCACTTAGTCAGGGATTAGAGCTTCTTACC